ACCCCGGGCAGAAGATGTCCAAAGAAAGCCTAGTAGCTCATGAAGTTGTGTTGGTGATACACTGAGTAATACATTTCTCTCAGATTCTGTTTTGAACCATTATTACTGGACATTTCCTTTTGAATCAGTGGTAGGAGGCACAAAGTTGCTGGAGGTGATGTCTTTGTAGTGAGACATACAATAAAACCTCAGAGTTACAGACACTTCAGGAATGGAAGTTGTAACTCTGAAATGTTCGTAACTCTGAACAAAACGTTATGGTTGTTCTTTCAAAAGTTTACAACTGAACGTTGGCTTGATGCAGCTTTGAAACTTTACTATGCAGAAGAAAAATGATTTCCCTTTATTTTTTAGTCGTTTACATTTACACAGTACTGTACTGTATTTGCTTTTGTGTGTGTGTGTGTGTGTGTTTCTGCTGCTGCCTGATTGTATACTTCCGGTTCCAAATGAGTTTGACTGGTCAGTTCATAACTATGGCGTTCGTAACTCTGAGGTTCTACTGTAAAACAAAGGTCATGACTATTTGTGTTTGTTAAAGTGTTGTGGCATTTTCAGCCAAAGTATAGTTGTTAACTTCAGCAGCCTGGCTAACTTTCAGATCAGTAACAGTATTCTACCTATCTAAATTCCTTTGTATTTTCAAATGGACACAATATCTTTTTCATAGCATTGCTGTTTAAAGGTGTCACTTCCATAGTGGGTGAAGTGAATTTATAATTGTTTGTCTAGTGATTTGGAATCTTTGGATGAAAGATATTATCTAAATATCTGTATTTTGATTTGCTAATTATTAATCTACATTTGAGTTTTACATGTTGGAGTTTTACATTTCTTTAACCCTTTTTAGGGTGAAGCCACTTCACTATATCTCCTGGCTGGTAGGACATGAAGGCAAAGGCAGTGTTCTTTCCTTTCTTCGGAAAAAGTATGTATTTCTTTAAATGTGAGACTTTAATATTGTGTGCATTGAAATAAAGAGTGAAGGCGGAAATATTTCCTCAAATAAAAATTAAAAAATGTGATCTACAAAGCTTGAGACCAACTCAGGGATTCTCTTTAAAACCTGTAGTAGTCATGTGACTTAAGCAACGCAAAATACTCTGAAAATGTACCCGGTGGTGTCTTTAGTACTAAATACAAGAAATTCAACTACGAGAGAATCTCCAGAGCAACACTGAAAGCACTTTCGCGGAAAACTTATATTTTCAAAAATATTTTGGTTCACACTGAATAAATCCAAAAAAGAAATAAGCCCTGCATTTTTGAATTTCAGTGCTTTGTATTCTTGTAGAAAGCTATATTCTTTCCATTTGCTTTGGATTGACTTTTAAATTCCTTAAAGTGGCCTCCATTAGGCAGGTCCGAAATAAGCTTGAACAATGATGCTGTGATTATAATTAGACATCAAGAAGGTTTTTAACTGGAGTAATTAATAGTGGTATAACTCTTCAATAGATTTTGGGCTCTTGCGTTATATGGGGGAAATGGTGAGACAGGATTTGAACAGAACTCCACCTACTCTATATTCAGCATTTCTGTGACTTTGACTGATGAAGGTTACGAGCACTTCTATGAGGTAAAATTCCATTATAGCTTGGATTTCTTACCACTGTGCTATGTCCAAAAGTTAAAGAAAGTTCATCAGTTTGTCCTTCTGTCTTCAGGTTGCGCATGTTGTATTCCAGTATCTGAAAATGTTGCAGAAAAGAGGGCCAGATAAAAGGTAACTTGGTTTGAATCAAGTGATCATGACCCCGGATATCACTGGGGTTTTCCCTCTTTTCCATCCTTTTCTGTGTTATAGTGTGCTTTTTCTTTTTGGATAAGCAGATATTAGAACAGATGCAATGAGAAAATGGTGGAAAATGAGATTGTTTAAAAAAATGGAAGAATTAATTGTAGGGTTACTACAATTGTTACTGTTACAACTGTTACTGAACCAACTTCTGTTGGTGAGAGAGACAAGCTTTTGAGCCAGACAGAGCTTTTCTTCAGATCTGGGAAAGGTACTCCCAGGCTGTGATGAAAAGGCTACTTTTCTATGGTTATGCAAGCACTGGTGGATCACCAGGGATGTTTCACTGAGAGCAATGTGGGCTGGTCAGGAAAGGTGCATGACGCTTGCACCTTTAAGAACACACGACTATTCAGGAAGGTGCAAGCAGGGCCGTTTTTTCCCCAGACAGTGGATTAACAATTGACAATGTTGACATGCCAATAATGATCTTGGCTCATGGAGCTGTACAGTGGCCTCCTCGACAACTTCAAGGAAAGATTCAGCTACTGGCTCAGCAGGTATATAATGACAGTTGAGTGTGCTTTTGGCAGATTGAAGGGGCACTGGTGGTGCTTACTCACTAGATTAGATCTCATTGAGAAAAATATCCCAATGGTTATAGCTTCCTGTTGTGTCCTGCATAATAATTGTGAGGTAGTAGGTGAAAAGTTGCCACTTTTGAGGTAAAGGGCAGAGATAGAATGGCTGTCTGCTGACTTTGAACAGCCAGACACAAGGCCATTAGAAAAGCTCAAGGTGGAGATATGTGGCTGAGAGATGCCTTGAAAGAGCCTTAATGGTCAGCCACTTAATGTGCTCTACCTAGCCTTGACATTTTGGGGGTGTTAGGAATTGTATAATGCTTGGTGTGCATTTATGAATATCACACTTTTAATGAACCTATTAATTATGCTGTGTTTACTGTACATTTATAATATTAATGTACATGTATAATAGTATGTACATTGTTTTTAACTGAACCTATGAGTTCTGTGCTCCTGTTCTATTACAGTTAGAATTGTCCTGTTCTTTGAGTAGTGCTATTTGTTCTGTAGTATATGTTATGAAGTAGTAAAGATGAATTTATTTCCAAAATATAAAAATTTATTGCGTACCCAAAACAGGGCAAAACATTAACGTGCAATTAAAATCAATACAGTGCGCAAACATAAAATAAATTAATGGAACAGAACTTTAAAATCAGAATGGTAGAAAACATTTGTCTCCATTTCAATCCATTTCTGCCAAACATACTCCAACTATGGCTCTCCCAGGTCAGTGTAGGTGAAGGTGTGATTTTCCTATTATCCCCCAGCATGGAGTAGTAGGGGTACAGATATGGCTCATCGTGCCATGTGGAATATTGGAGGTATTGGAGCTCTTGAAATGGAGTTCTCCATTGACTACAAAGGTAGGTGAGTCCATGACTGTTTTACCTTTAGGTCAATAAGAGTCTGTTTGCTGCCTGAGAAGCTCTGTTTTGTCCTGGTGAATCTCTTTCTTTTTTTCCTGATGGGACTCCTGAGTCTTTCTCCTGTCTGTTCTTTTGTTCTCCAGGCTATCTGCTATATTCACCCTCTAGGCTCTCTTCATGATCTGATGTCCTCCCTATTCCTCTTCTTTCTCCTCCTCATAGTGTCAGGTGTTCTGCAGGTGTGGCCGGGGCACGCCTTCAGGCTGCAACGATGGCAGCTACATACAAAACAGACATGTATTTACAGCCACAATGGAAAATGAAAGATGGGTTTGAGAATGCCTTTCCCTTATACCTGTAAGAGTTTTAAATATGACCTGCTTATTGACACTTCAGCTTTGGAGTGCCTGTGCATAGCACTGCTCTCCAGCTGCAGCCATTCTTAGTATGGCCCGCCAGGATGGGGCGGAAGTGAGGAGGGAATTGTTTTGTAGTGTTAAGGAAAAAAATGTTGTGCGGCGGTGATTTTAACTAGTATCTCACTCCTGAGGGTCACAGAGGCACAGAGAACACAGCTACTGCTAAATTCATTAAGCCACCTGGGCTTGTGTGATGCTAGCCTGTTTATGGCAATGGTGCCTGCCGAAGTCATCACAGAGTGTTGTGGGAAAGAAGTTACCCTACTATAGAGGAAGAAGTAAGGCAGCCATCCCTAGAAACCTTTGGGAGAGGATTGCAGAGTACCTCCATGAAAATTCCATCAAGATCTCTCAGGAGGATACAAGGAACAGCCTTATGTATATAAAAACAAACTGCTCTGCATGCCTCCCTGCCATCGCCTAATCCTACAGGAGAACAAAAAGCAGATTCCAGCTTTGTCTCTTTTTGTTGTACCCTTACTTCTTCTCATATGAGTAAAACATTGAAAAGTAGACACCTGTGTTCTGCTAACTTGGGGTAGGGCTGGGTGCCATCTTCACATTTAAACATTTTAAGGGCAAATGCATGCACACACTTACCCGAGATTCCTTCTCATGGATTGGGCTCGGTGGTGCTCACTGATGGGACTGGCTAGACTGCAGAGGAGTCTTAAAAAGATTCTAGCTCATGGCATAGCTGGACGCCTCATTGCATTTCTCTTCTCCTCCTCACTGTTCTTGAGCTCCATTGAGGTATTTGTCGTGATCAGTGGAGAGCCCACTGGCGCTCCACAAAGTCTGTCATGCACCTCTTTGTTAAAGCAGCAGGATTGCTGCATGGCACTAGAACAACTCTTACCCTCCCTGGTGTGTTGGAATGCCTGCTGCAGTTCCTTCATTTTCACGCAGCACTGCTGCTGATCCCTATCATATCCCTTCACATACACCTCCTGTGCTATCTTTTCATAGACGTCCATGTTTTGATGACTGATATGTAGCTGTGTCTGCCGAGCCTCTTCTCTCCACAGGCCCTGAAGATCCAATACTTGCTGTCTACTTCAGGCAGTAGTGTTTCTAAAGCAGTGATACTCAGACTGTGGCTCTTGAATGTGTCTCCTGCGTGGCTCTTTGCAGCACATGATATTAAAACACTCTGTGATTTAATTATTAACCAATAAGGATGCTTTTACTATGTTATTAACCAATTCAGTTAACAACTTGCACTAAAATTAACTTATTTTCTGTGAGTGTGTGTGTGTGTATATATATAGAGAGAGAGAAAGAGAGAGAATGTAAATATTTCCCCATTCATATAGTTTAAGTATGAATTGTACTGTAGTAAACGAAATAATGAATTCACACTGCTGTGGAACTTTTGGGTAATGTTGATTGCTAATATGGATCCTGAACCATTGAGGTCTGAGTATCACTGGTCTAGAGTGTTGTGTAGTTGGCATGGTCGTTTGGTTAATTTCACACAACAAGTGAGAACTGCTACTGCTAGGTGTGCTTGCCAAGCTGAGCAATCAGGAAAAGGCATTTTAAAAAATATGGGAGTTTAAAAGGGAGCAGTGTGGCTTCTGGTCTCCAGGACACCTGGGCAGTGGAGTTCACAACTGTGACCAGAGTGGTTACTAGTGGACATTGTGGAACAGCTGCCAGAGGACTATTAGAGACAACCTAGGTCATGCAGTCTCTACACTCGCACTGTGTCAACTATAGTATGTTGACCATGGCTCAGTGCTGTTCAGGGAGGTGGTTTTACTTTTTCACTGTAATGGGGCACTTACATTGGCTGGAGAAAAATTTGAGTGTAGACACATGCACAAATAAGACAATGCAAAGTGACTTACATGAACCTAACTTTGTAGTGTACGCAAGGCCATACTGGTGTAACCTCTTGTGCGGACACTCTTATTTTGGAATAAGACTGACTTTTTGCTGTTTACATTATGTTCTTTGGAAGGAGTTTCAACTAAACAGAAAAAAGCCAATATTATTCCAGAATAAGAATGGTCACATGTGAGATTATATCAGTTTATGCAAGTACAACTGATAAAATTTTCTTGTATCGACAAGCCCTTAGTGGAAGAAAAAAAAAAGGGAAAACTCAAAGATTTGTATGCCACACCTTTCCCAAATAGTGAGGTCAAGCAATTAAGGGTAGTGTATGGTTAGATTATGGAACTGAGAGTCAGGGATTCTCAGTTCTGTTGCTGGCTCTTCCATTTACTTTGTGTCTGCCACTGACTATTTGTGCTTCAGTTTCTCCATCTGAAAATAGGAGATAAAAACTTGCAGGAGTAATGAGGATTGATTGACAATTGTTAAATGCTTGTGATTCCCAGACAAAAAGATTCATAGATTCATAGATTCTAGGACTGGAAGGGACCTCAAGAGGTCATCGAGTCCAGTCCCCTGCCCTCATGGCAGGACCAAATACTGTCTAGACCATCCCGGATAGACATTTATCTAACCTACTCTTAAATATCTCCAGAGATGGAGATTCCACAACCTCCCTACGCAGTTTATTCCAGTGTTTAACCAATCTGACAGTTAGGAACTTTTTCCTAATGTCCAACCTAAACCTCCCTTGCTGCAGTTTAAGCCCATTGCTTCTTGTTCTATCTTTAGAGGCTAAGGTGAACGAGTTTTCTCCCTCCTCCTTATGACACCCTTTTAGATGCCTGTAAACTGCTATCATGTCCCATCTCAGTCTTCTCTTTTTCAAACTAAACAAACCCAATTCTTTCAGCCTTCCTTCATATGGTCATGTTCTCAAGACCTTTAATCATTCTTGTTGCTCTTCTCTGGACCCTCTCCAATTTCTCCACATCTTTCTTGAAATGCGGTGCCCAGAACCGGACACCTCACTCCAGTTGAGGCCTAACCAGCGCAGAGCAGAGCAGAAGAATGACTTCTCGTGTCTTGCTCACAACACACCTGTTAGTGCATCCCAGAATCATGTTTGCTTTTTTTGCAACAGCATCACACTGTTGACTCATATTTAGCTTGTGGCCCACTATAACCCCTAGATCCCTTTCTGCCGTACTCCTTCCTAGACAGTCCCAAACTGTATGTATGAAACTGATTGTTCCTTCCTAAGTGGAGCACTTTGCATTTGCCTTTGTTAAACTTCATCCTGTTTACCTCAGACCATTTCTCCAATTTGTCCAGATCATTTTGAATTATGACCCTATCCTCCAAAGCAGTTGCAATCCCTCCCCGTTTGATATCATCTGCAAACTTAATAAGCGTACTTTCTATGCCAATATCTAAGTCGTTGATGAGTTGAACATGTATTTCTCGTGCAGTCACCATGGTATCCAGGTCATATAGATTTACAAATTATTATTACTGCAGACAAACAAGCTTAAATTTTCAGACTCGTATCTTGTTAGAAATAATGTGTGATTAATCACTTGACAGGGTAATGGGTATATATATTTTTTTCCCACCTACAGAATTTGGGAAGAGATTCAGAAGATTGAAGCTAATGAATTTTATTTCCAGGATCAGGTACTAAATTAATCTTCAAATGTTTTCTTTGGGGGTATAGATGTTAAGTCCTAGATTTTTGAATTGTAATTGCGGGGTTTTCTGTGTAACTTGCCATAGTCAGTGAGAGTTAGATGGTTCTAACATCATGAGTCTTTGAAAATATAGTCTTACATAGATGAGGAAGAAGAAGCATTTGTTAAGTAGAAAGAACTTATATTCTAGTTAGAGAAATGTTAAACTTTATGACTTGTGAAGTTGTTCTTTAATAAATCCAAAATATGATTTGATTTCTTTGGTATATGGTGCTCTTCCAAGAGCTGTTTTCTTTTCCTCATGTTTTGTTTTCTCCCACTCCTTAAGGTCAGTTTCTCTTTATCATTCAGTTTAGATTGTAAGATACTTGTTACAGGACCCTTATCTTATTCACCTGTGAATCAGGGTGTATAAAAATAGATTTTTAAAATTAAAATTAAATATAGTTTTTTAAATAAACCTTTTTGAAAATAATGCAACCTATCTTAAGTCCTAAACTGACTATAATATAGTAAAATTATTTAAATTAAACAAATTTTAAACGGTAAATTTTTGCTTGCAAGTATTAACGAAGGTCAAACCATTGAGCTGGCTAAATACCTAAAATCACAGTTTATTTAAGTGCCAAACCAGCTTTTGACAGCAGTAATTTCTTCTGCAGCTTCAGAGAGAATATTTTCTTCATTTTAGTCTGTTCAAGTAATTCAGTTCAATGACTAGATCATTCAAAGTTAAGAAACTAATTGAGAATTGAAAAGCAAGAAATCTTGTTTTTGTCATCCAATCTCTGAATAAAAACTAGGTCTGAGAGGATGAACTCTACTAGTTTTAAAATCTTGAAGGATGTGGTGACCAGAAACAATCAGTTCAATTCACTAACTATGGATAATACTTCCTTTTTTAAATAAATCAGTTAGTTTCAAATGCAAAACATGTTTTAGAAACTTACTTTGTTAGGCATTCAACACATTTAAAGTAGTTTTATTTACCTAATAAAAAATTAAATGCTGTTTTTGTGCATTTAATTGAATTTTAATTTCCACCCGAATAGAACTTGATACAAATCAAAAGTAAAAAAGTAATCATCCAGTAAATAAAAAATGCATCCATTCACCATTTTCTAACATAAGTAAAAATTAGGAATGTGAATAAAAGTTAAGGTACATAACAGCTTAAATAAATGTACAGATATACTGTATTCTCCTGGTTAGCAAAAAGAAGCACCAGTTGTTGTGTAAAGCTATATTACTTGCAAATCAACATGTTTTAATAGTTCTCAACCAATGAGAATCTACCTGTCTTTAGGAAAATAACAAAAAAAAATACAAATGCAAAATAATATTAAAATTGATGAATGAAAATAAAGTTTCCTGTTTGCTGATTTAAATCATGATTAAAATAGGGATTTAAATTACTTTGGTTTAAATCAATCCACTGTACTGTGAAGTAATATGAACCTTAATGGTGTGCTATAAACAATTATGGTTATTTTCTTTTAGTGTTTCTGCATATTCTCACTTGCGGGAAGTAGTTCCCGGCACTGCTGAACTTTGGGGAATTTACAGAAAAACAGTGGCCACTGGAATCACATAAATGCCTCTTCATGGCACCACATGTTCAGTGCTGATGTTATAGAAGCCATATGATCCCTAACCACCTCCACTTCTTTTCCATGGATAATTTCAGATATAGGCACCATTGCTGTGTGACCAGAGAGTTTTTTCTTGTTCTTTACCAAGAGTCTTAACTTTTTTGTTTTAGTTTAGACATTTTCAGATAATTCCTGACACTGAATCTTCTCCAGATGAAAATGTTAGGGTTTCTTCAGCTTCTTCTCCTTATGAGAATGCTTTACCATTTCACAGACTTGTGGATAGACTGGTGATGACTGAAAGGTTCATTGGTCACTGTCATAAACAGATAGTTAAGGGTTAAAGCCTCTTTTACCTGTAAAGGGTTAAGAAGTTCACCTAGCCTAGCTGACACCTGACCAGAGGAACCAATGGGGGGACAAAATGTTTCAAAAGGAAGGAGGGAAGTTCCCTTTGTCTGGGTCAGTTTCAGTTTTGGCCAGAGTGGAAAAGATCAAGGAATCAGCTTCTTATCAGAGTAGTGAGAATTAGAAAAGGAATAAATAGGTTTTGTTTATTTTCTTTTTGTAACTTGTCTTGTGCAATTAAGGGAATAATCAAATTGGGTATTCTTTTGTGTAACTTAAGTTTTGCCCAGGGGAACATCCTCTGTGTTTTGAATCTGTTGTCTGTGAGAGTACCTGGTATGCTAACCTCTCCCAGAGGTTTGTCTTTCACCTTTCTTTTCTTTAATTAAAAGCCTTCTTTTTAAGAACCTGATTGATTTTTCCCTGTTTTTAAGATCCAAGGGGATTGGGTCTGGACTCACCAGGAATTGGTCGGGGGAAAGAGGGGGATGGTTAAATTCTCCTTGTGTTAAGATCCAAGAGGTTTGGATCGGTGTTCACCGGGGAATTGGTGGAGGAGTCTCTCAAGGCTACCCAGGGAGGGAAAGGTTTTGGGGGGGAAGACAGAATTTCCTAAATAACTCATAAATCATTTGGGTGATGGCAGCCAGACCAGATCTAAGCTGTTAATTGAGCTTATGGGTTCACTTGCAGGTCCCCACATCGGTACCTTAAAGTTCAGAGTGGGGGTGCCTATGACAGTCACGCTGGAAGACCCTTCCTATCCTGCGTTCTCCTCAAAAAAATAAAATCACCCTACCAATATTAGACAGACTGTTGCAACCTGCAAAAGCAGTTTTGTCTACCCCTTCATCTTGAAAAAAGCTGACAAGTTATATCATTTAAAAAGTGAGGATTTTTTTTCTTTCACATGCATCCTACCGTTAACTCTTCAGTAGAGGCAATAGCAGACCATAGATCTAGAGGAGGACAGTCGCAGTTTACTCCTTCTGAAAAAGGGAGGGAAGGAAAAGGACACAATTTGTAGAAAGAGATTTTCTTCTGCTTTGCTCAGAATTAGAGTGTCAATATTACCAGGCAATGATGTTGCAGTATCAATATTATTCATGGGAAATGATACCCAGGTTTCCAAAAGCACTCCCAGAAATTAATGGAGATATCCCATCTCCTAGAACTGGAAGGGACCTTGAAAGGTCATCGAGTCCAGCCCCCTGCCCTCACTAGCAGGACCAAGTACTGATTTTGCCCCAGATCCCCAAGTGGCCCCCTCAAGGATTGAACTCACAACCCTGGGTTTAGCAGGCCAATGCTGAAGAACAACAGGAGTTGGCTAATACCTTAGTAGCTGAAGGTCAGACAGTGTCAAAACATTCAGTTAAAAGAACATCTTTTGAGGGATCAGATTCAGCAATGAGAGCAGTTGTCTGCTTTATAGATGTGCTATAGAAACAAAATTGAAGGTAGATGACCGTCCCTTGATAGATGATGGATTATTTAGCAGTAAGACTGCTGAGATACTGGAGAAGATGAAGGACAAAAGGTCTACTGCAAAATCTACCTGTTTACAAAAATAAGGACGTCTGTACCTGTCTTTAAGTCCTAGAGGCAGTTCTACTCCCACATCATCTTTGCCATCTTATTATTCTCAATGATGTCAATTTCAACACCAAAATATTTCCTTTGTAACCATAGCAGAGAAGGGAGCCTTTTAAGAGGTGAATTAAGGGGAAACATCCTTCATTTTTGACTTCAGGTTCGAATGTCAGGCTTCAAGTTTGATATGAGGATTGGGAGCTTCAGACCAGTCTGTGCTGTTCCTCTCTCCCCACCCTTGAAGATAGACTTTCCTGTTACATCTGCAACTGAATTCTTCAGTTTTCTCCAGATTCTGAAAAATGGAATCTGGAGAAAACTGAAGAAGGTTATGTCATTCAATTTGAAGCCCTTCTTCCACTCAGTGCAGCCTCCCCCTTCTATCTCTATTTAGGGACCCATTTCATAAGACTGCGTTAAGATGGAGATTCAGTTCTCGTTAGAAGTGGGAACATTAGAGAAAGTGCCAAGGAAATTCAAGGGTCAACGTTTTTGTTCCAGATATTTTCTGATATCAAAGAAAGATGGAGGGCTTTGTCCAATATTAAATCTACAGAAACTCAATGCTTTTATCAGAAAATAGTTTCCCCTTGTTGATTTAAGTATCCCTCATGCCATCCCTTTCAACCCTAGATTGGCTTGCAGCTCTCGATCTAAAAAGTACTTATCTCTATCAGACCAAGGGATTGCAAATACCATTGTTTCAATGTTGGACAAAATAACTTCCAATACAATCTTTAACCTCTCTACAGATCTGCCCCCTCTTCCCCTAGAAATTACAAAATACCTATCTGTAGTAGTGGCTTGTTTGACACAATAGGGTATTTTTGTTTACCCTTATTTAAAAGATTGGCTCAATAAAGCCTCATTAGAAGATGGCTTTTCCAGAAACCTATGTTACATATGTTTCCTCTTCAAGAAGTTAGGACTCCATGATAAACATGAAAAAGTCTCTTCAGCTACTTTCACAGTGGATTTGGTTTATAGGAGCAGTTCTCAACTCTCAGGAGGTCAGAGCATTTCTTCCAGAAGATATTTCTGAAGCTTCAATCTGCCAAAATGGTGGCCCGTCAAAATCCTACTTGGAAAGTACAGTAGAACCCTATTTAGCTGATCCTCCATTATCTCTGGCTCTCCGCGTTAACCAGACAAGCAGCGAACACAGGTCCAGAACGGGGCGATCACTCCTGTGGCCACTAGGTGGTGGAGCAGCATTGCACTTTACCATTCTTCGGTTTATCTGGATTTCTGATTAACCAATCTGGCCCTGGTCCCAATTAGATCGAATGAACAGGGTACTGCTGTATGTTCTTTCTAGGTTTCATGGGCCTTGTGTCTTCAGCCACTTGTGTTGTACTTTGTGCTCGGCTCAGAGTGAGAAGTCAGCAGCATTGACTGGCACTAAATTACAGACCAACTATAGAAGCACATTCACAAGATTGATCACCCTAAAAGAGATACTGCTATCTTTGACATGGACTCAGTGTGCCAGTGACCTGGGAGCAGTGTTTATCCTTCCAGCACTGTTGAAAACAATCACCTTCGTTACCTCCAACCAGGCATGGGGAGCACATTTCAACTAGTTAACGGTTTGAGGTAATTGGAGTACTCAGGAAAGGAGACTGCATACAAATATCCTGGAACTGAGAAAAATTCATTGGGTTCTCAAATCTTTTCTATATTGCATGCCAAGTGAGGTACTGCATGCAGGCCATCACAAACAACATGACAGTAATGTATTATATTAGCTAACAGCGAGGGGCTCGCTCTTCTTTGTTATGAAAGGAAGCAGTGACATTATGGGACTGGAGTATCTAGCACAACATTAGGTAGCTGTATACCTAATAGGCAGTGACAACAGTCTGGTGGTGGGTCAACAGAGCAAAGATATAATGGAACTTCATGAGTGGTCGTTAAAGAAATTGGTGATAGACAAGATCTTCACCCTGTGGGGATTCCTGGACGTAAATCTGATCATGATCAGACAGAATTCAAGGTGTCCCAACTTTTGCTTGAGAGCAGGGAAAGTCAATCTACCCATATTGGACTCTTTTCTCCTGAACTCGGGGAAGTGTCTATTCTGTGCTTTTCACCCTTCCCTCTCATCCATTGTGTGATTAAGTAGATAAGACAGGATGGAACAAGGATCATTCTGGTTGCCCACCACTGCCACGGCGACAGTGGCACTCGGACTTCTTCAGCTCTCCCAGGGAGTATACAGACCTCTCCTGGTGTTACTGGACTTATTAATTCAACAGGAGAACAGAATTTATCATCTGGACCCTTAATCACTGCACCTGACTGCATGGGCTATAGGACTAGAATGGTCCTTGGAAAATCTTGCCCTTTAGAAGTGCAGGAAATATTGATTAACATTAGAAAACAAGCAGCAAGCACAGGTGGACTAGATTTGTGAAGTGAATAAGAGAGAAACTATTGATCAACATTGTCGCACCAGTACATTATATTATTGAATACTTGATTCATTCAAATCTTCCGGGTCTTTCCATTTCCTCCTTTAAAGGATATGTAGCAACTATAGTCCACTATGCATTAACAGATAGATTTATTATCTTGGCACAAAACAAAGTTAAGAAATTTATGAAGGGACATGCCAATATGCAACTGCCTATAAAAGACCCAAATACCATCTTGGGACCTCAATTTAGTGCTAATGCAATTCATGAACCTCAGCTGGAAATGCTTCTCCAAGAAGAGAAAGAACTATAAGAAGGGAGAGTAGACACCCCAAATGATCTCTTTCTCTCTACCTATGGCATTCACAAGACCTGAAGCAGCATTGGGGGAGGGATCCTGACTGAAGGAGATTCATCCAGTAAGACTGCTGAAATGTGGTGAGAGAGACTTCACTTTGAATTCACTTCAGTTGTTAAGTTAGGCATTAGATGCTTTTTATTTTTCTTGTAATCTGTTCTGACTCTTATACCCTTGTTACTTGTATTCACTCCAAATCTATCCTTTTGTGGTTAATAAACTTGTTTTATCTAAACCAGTGTGTTTGGATTAAGGCATTTGGGAAACTCCATTTGGGATAACAGGATTTGTGCATATAATTTTCTATTAATAAAATGACAGACTTTATATGAGCTTGTATTGTCCAGGAGAGAGCTAGGCAGTACAAGACTTACATTTCTGGAGAAAGTTTGGGGCTGGGAATTTGCTGCTGTTACTCTGCAGTGTAATTCAAGAGTGGCTGGCTATCACATTCATACAATTTAACTGGGAGTAACTTACAGTACTGGGAGTAACTGGAGGCTGTGTGAGCAGATGTGGAGTGGTAGCTTTCACAGTAAAGCAGTGTAAAAGGCACCCCAGATTGGAGAACAGGACACAGCTGTTTATCGGTCCAGATTGTACCCTGGATAATGTCACAGTTGATCAGACACTTAATTTCATAGAGCAGTTCTACAGTCCCTGTTCAATCAGGACTCTGAGTCCTACCTTGTTTGTGAGGTACAGCTTGCCAAACTGTCCTGTGAGTGGGAATATGTAGAAGATGGTCAAAGAAATGAAGGTTGGTTACTTGTAACTGGAGTTCTTTGTATTCTGTATATTCACACTCCTTCCCCACCTTTGTTGGAGTTCTAATAGAATTCTGACTCTGGGGAGGTTAGAAGAATGAACTGAGATGGCAAAGGGTGCCCCTTTTATAGCCTTGTCCTCAAAATGTTCAGGAACACAGAGGGGAAGAGTAGGAGGGGTGCATGAATTTTCTAATGGGCACTGCTATGAGAAGGTTCCACCATCTGAGGGCACGTCTTCACTATCCACCAGATCAGTGGGTAGCGATCGATCTATCGGGGATCAATTTATCGTGTCTAGTGTAGACACGATAAAATCGATCCCCGATCGCTCTGCCGTCGACTCCGGAACTCCACCGCAGCGAGAGGCGGAAGCGGAGTCGACGGGGGAGCGGCAGCGGTCGACTCGCCGCTGTCCTCAAAGCCAGGTAAGTCGACCTAAGATACGCAACTTCAGCTATGCTATTCACGTAGCTGAAGTTGCGTATCTTAGGTCGACACCCCACCCCACCCCCGTAGTGTAGACCTAGCCTGAGTTGCATCTCCCTGCCCATCCCATGAGTGTGACTATTCAGAATCTATCTTAAAGAACTCCGGTTACAGGTAAGTACCTTCATTTCTTTTCTCAAGGATAATGGTGAGAGAAACTGAAGCTCAGAGAGGGTCTCCATGCAAGGGGACCTAATGCACTCAATTCCCTCTGATTTAAATGGAGGCGCATGTCCTCAGCACATCACAGGATCAGGCCATAAGTGAGTGAGCTGTCGTGGGGACACGGACTGTATGAAACGGTTGATTGTCTTGCTTGTCTCTGAAATAGTGTGGGGCTTCATGCAGCAACACTGTGTTTGAGAGAATTCTTTCAACATGCCCACACACTTTTTACTACCATGGCTGCACCAGTGCATTCTGGGTCTCCTCAATACTGTTTTTGAGAGCAATGCTTATAGGTAACTTCAGAAAGTAAGGCCCGTCTGAACTGTGGGATGGAGTTAGGCTAAATCATTGAATTAGTGCAGCAGTAATGATATTTTCTGGATTCCCCTCTGCACTGGTAAGAAATATTGTAGACTTCACTGCATTAGCCACGTGTGAGCTGCAGCCACTCACTGGTACAACTGGCACCTTTTATAAAACAACCAAAAAATCCCTACAGCCCACCAACAACACAGACAGCTGCTACTTGTGAATATGAGGCATATATGTGTTCCAACCAATGGTATAGTCGAGACCATAATTCTAGCGAGGATAATATGGTTATTCTCTTTGTTTTTGTAAAAGTAGCATCAAACCTTATTATTTCTCTGTACTTAATCACTAGATAGGCAGAAGGGACCATTTCTTCATTGTTTCTTCTTAAGGAAGGCCCTTCTAATGTTGCATAATTGTTTATGAATTGCATTTAGACTCAATAACCAAAACCAAAACCTGCAATGCAGCACACAAGTTCTACTCAGCAAAAAGTGTTAAGTTTTAGTTGTCTGTTGTGCGAAACACAATTTTACTCATTTTACAGGCTGATCCCATTGATTATGTTGAAAGTCTTTGTGAGAACATACATATCTTTTGTAAGGAGGACTTTTTGACGGGCGATCAGCTCCTGCTGGAATACAAGCCTGAAGTAAGTAGCACTATAGCTTTCAATGTGTATATTTGAGCTGGATAAGTTATTTATTGAGGGTGTACAGGGAATTTAGGCTTATTGAATCAGGTTTTCTAGATTAATTGGATCACTTTTATACTTTTTGGGTGCAGAAAACAAATTGCTTGGTTTAGGAGGTTATTTTTAGTCCTTTGTCTTCTGAACTTTCGGAGTAATTTAAAAATACAGTTGGACAGGAGTAGCTAAAGTTGCATTTAAGTGAGTTATTATTCCTTTATCTTTGTAGATCATTGCTGATGTCCTTAACCAGCTCTGCCCTCTGAGAGCAAACCTTGTTCTGTTGTCTGCTGCCAGTGAAAGAAAATGTCATCTAACGGAGAGATGGTTTGGGACACAGTACAGTGTGGAAGGTAAAATGACCCGCTAAAGTGTTTAGAGATCTTTTAAAGTGCTCATTGAGACCATTAAAAAGGTACAATGTGCAGCCACACAGGAGTGAGAATGCAGATAGACACACAGAAACATCAGAAGAAAGGTATCTAGTTCTAGGGGTCAGCAACTAGGTATTGATGCAGTAGCTACTGCCCTATTAAATCTATCTGCTGTTAATAGACTAATTTCATGTTTTTCACAGATATTGACAAATCTTGGAGTGATTTATGGGCCAGTGACTTTCAGTTAAATCAGGACCTGCACTTACCTGAAGAAAACAAATATATAGGTGAGTGAGACACTAGTATTTGGTTGGACTCTGTCATGTTTCTCTTCCCCATTCTGCTCAGTTTCAGAATGGGAGGTTCTGAGAAATGATCTTTTTCTTTTAAATGAATGTGTGGTTTCAAACTGTTCCTTTTGGAATGGAGAGAAAACATGGAAACATTTGTTTGTCTGAGCTTTTATTAAAGCATCCTTTTAATAAGTTTAAATTTTAGGCCAAATTTAATCTGAAAATATCTGTTTTAAGATATTCTTAGTGCATGGACCATGTAGCCCAACAGAGCAGCCATGATGCACTCATGAGTAGCTTGCATACAGCTATAGACCTGAGAATCTCATATACTGAGAGAGGCCGTGTTGTTTGGTTATCCCTGTTCTTTTGGGAAAAATAACACAGACTCTTATAGCAACTGGATCTGTCATCAGAAGTAAAGAGAATGAAGAACTTATCTCTTGAATCAGACTTACTAGCCTATTTGTTATTCACTTCAGGGTTGGCACTGGATATGAGCCAAAGATCTGGTATGGGATCTAAATTCATGACCTTTAGTTCCAGAAGGCAGTGTGCTATTAAATACACTATGGTGACATAGAAAAGAGGCGAGCAGTTTGTTTACAGTTTTGCAAGTTGCACACTTGTGCCAATGGTTGTGGATTTGAAATATAGTAACCCACATATTCTGTTTCTATATTAGCCACTGACTTCTCTCTGAAGGCATCTGATTGGCCTGACACGGAACACCCAGTCAAAATTCTGAGTACACACCACGGCTGTGTGTGGTACAAGAAGGACAATAAATTCAAAATCCCCAAAGGTAACCCCCGTTCGCTGGTGTATTAAACAAAATGTGCAAAACAAAGTTTTCCTATGCAATAGTACTGGCACCTAAATAGTACTGGCAATTTGTTTAGGATTCGGACTTGTAGCTGCTCTTTTTTCCAAAATCCAAGCAGCACAGAACATCACTGTTGTTAAGTGCCAGTTGGCATTTTGGTTATAAACCCCCTTTTGTAAGTGTTTAACTCCTTATGGTGAGCATGTGGAATGCTCTTTCCAAGCCGTGTCTGTTGGGGAGTATGCAAGTTCCTAAATGCATTTTCTTACTTCACATATCATAGTAGTTATAAGGAAATGTGCACCTCTAACTGTCCCATTTCCTCCTTCACCACTGCAGAGGGCAGAAGGGATCTACTTCTGTGCTCAGGCAGTCATCCTCCAGGGTCCAAGAAGCAGATATTCACACCTGTGTTAGCACCAGCCTCAGTAAAATGCTTGAATGCCAGGTCTTTTCAACCCAAGTCTGGGCTGGGGAGATGCCAGCATCTGCTAAGACTCCTGTGCCTAAGCCAGCTATGGTGCCTCTGACTGCCTTTATGGCACCAACTAAATGGACTCCTGCTCCTGCCCCAAAACCTACTAAAGGGTCGGCAACATCTACTGTGGCACTGACCCATCCCATCAGGTCCAGGCACTGACTTCTTGGCCCTGGAAGATGTTTCTAAAGACCCACCTTCCAAACAATAGGAAAAATGTACGCACTCCAGCACTGAGTATACTCAACATGAGAGAAAGAAGAAGCACTGTGATTCTTAACCACCTGGCACTCTGACACAGGAGTCTCAATGGCAGCATCATCGGAGCAGCACTCACAGCTTTCAGCACTGGAGGCCATGGTCCCAAGCAGGCTGGTGTGGTGTCTGAAGAAGTTTCACCCATACAAGTCCCACAAACCCCTTCTATTTCTCCAGGCCTTAGCCCTAGGCCCCCTCTCAGATTGTGACTACTCCCTTGTACACCAAAGATATTCCTGGTTCTGCCCCTCAGGCCTGACTACAGAAGCCCAGGGCCTCTTATAACAAGAAGACTAGTGAAAGTGCTTGAGAAGATCATATCCACCAGGGCCACAGCTAGATCCTTTGGCCTTTCCCAGCCCTCCAGTTCTTCTGAGAAGCATTCGTCCTCTACTTCTGGAGGAATTGTGTGCCACTGCGCATGTGCAGAATTCATGTCCCCCACAGATTTCTTTGCTTCCCTGCAGAAAAATGACTTTCTGACAGGGAAGCAAAGGGAAGTTGCAAGAGCAGTCACGCACCACTCCCTAGCTGCGCAGGTATATAATTTCAGGCACCCAGAGCAGCCGGCAGAGAGGTAAATCACTGCAGGGCTGGGGAAACCCCAGCCAGTGGCTCCTACCCTGAGCCGGGATCAGCTGCGAGACCTGACTGGGCTGGAGGCAGGAGAGGACAGCACTTTCTTTTCCCTGCAAGGAGTGGCTGGGGCTGTGTGAAATAAGAGAAGAGGCAACAGATGGATATGGACAAATGAGTGAGTATAAGGCAATATCAAAGATTCAGGAAAGTCCTCAAGTTAACAGTAAGAGATTGTTGTCAACTGCTGGGACACATGTCATCTTGAGTCTTTGCAGTCCAGCATGCCAGATTAGACCTCAGAGATCTACATAGATGGCTTTGAACAGTTTACAGACCAAACCAACACAGACTAGGCAGGTTACTGTCATTTCCCCGGTGTGTTCTACAATCACTCAGCTGGTGAAAGGAACTGATCAAACCCTGCACAGCTTTTCCATTCTTGCAGATTCCTCCTACTACAATGATAACAGCAGATGCTTCACTTTAAGACTATGGGGCACATCTGGGAACTCAGGGTACAGGGAAAATGCGTAAAGATGGGTGTCACCGTATTTGGGAAGATCTCCCTGGCGCCCAGCCAATGATCTCTCCAGGTCCCCTCCTTATCCCGGTACTGGTCTCGAAGCGCGAGGCGTGGATCCCCGGTCTCCCGTTGTGGATCCGCCGAGCGCCACCAGTCACCGAGGTCCCCGTGGAGGTGCACGTCCCGCTCGGACCAGTCCTCATCTAGGCATGACCGCGATTATCACCAGGCATGGAGTCGCTGCTCCAGTGGATCCTGGTCACTGGGTAGCAATCGCTCTGGATATGGCTCTGGTACGGAGCAAGGCTCCACATCAATGGGGCAGACTCCCAAACCCTCAGTGCCACCTGCATCGTCGGTACCAAAACCTGCCCAGTGGCCGGCCCTGTGGTACCCTTGGAACCCCTGGGGGTTCACCCAGCCCTCCCAGCCTGCCCGCTTGGTGTCGGGTGCCTCAGACAGGCCGGTGGCCTCGACGACCCAATTCCCTCCAGTGCTTGAGGCCCCAGGGGATAAGACCACGCAAGTCCATGTGGACCAAGGGGAACAGGCTGCTGGACCACCAATGGGTACCATGGAACCAGCAGTACTGGTCTCCTCCTCCTTGTCACCAGATGAGGCCCTCACGGAGCCCCCTCACCCGGTTTCTCAGGATGATGCTAAGGCTCACCAGGAGCTGTTGAAGAGGGTCGCATCCAACCTTAGCCTGCAGGCGGAGGAGTTGGAGGAGCAAGCGGACTCCCTGTTCGACGTCCTCTTCTCCACAGCCCCTGCTAGGGTGGCTCTTCCCCTTCACGAAGGGGTATTGAAGATATCCAGCGCCTTGTGGCAAACCCCCTTCTCTCTGCCCCCCATTTCCAAACGAGCAGAGCAGAAGTACTTTGTCCCAACTAAGGGGCACGAATACCTTTACTCCCATCCTGCCCCAAATTCCCCGGTGGTCGAGGCAGTTAATTACAGGGAACGTCAGGGACAACCCGGAGTTGCCCCCAAAAATAAGGATTCCAGGAGATTGGACTTGTTCAGACAGAAAATTTATTCCTCATCTAGCTTACAGTTGAGGGTGGCCAACCACCAGGCCCTCCTTGGCCACTATGACTTTAATATGTGGCAAACCGCAGCCAAGTTCGAGAATGCCCTTCCAGAAGGTTCCCATAAAGAATTCCGGGCGATCCTTGATGAGGGTACAGACGCTGCCAGGATAGCCCTTCAAGTGGCATCTGACGTGGCAGACTCCGCTGTCCGCACCATGGCGTCCGCCATCTCTATGCGCCGAGCGTCCTGGCTGCTCCTCTCCCGGTTGTCCTCCGAGGCTCAGCAGTCGATTCAGGATCTCCCCTTCGATGGCCAGGCCCTGTTTGCAGATAGGGTGACCAGATCAGAGAGAGAAAATATCGGGACGCAGGGGGGACGAGCAAAAGAAAAAAAAAGGCAGTTTTGCTGCACACAGAGGGACTGGGAGTGCAGCGCGGAGGCTGTTGCAGCCTGCGGGGCAGCGCGGTGAGTCCAGGTGGGGGCAGCGTGGAGCGGGCAGGGGCCGGGTGGGCGGCGTGGGGGCATGGGCTGAATCCCCGCTGCTGCCGGGGGAGCCCCGCGCCTCTCCCTTCTGCTCTCGGCTGCACTATGCTCCAGCGGCTGCGGCTCCTTCCTGGCCGCGCATGCTGTCCTCCCACCGGGAAGGAGCTGCAGCCACTAGAGCGCAGCGCAGCTGAGAGCGGGAGGGAGAGGCGCGGGGCTCCCCGGCAGCAGCAGGGATTTGGCCCACGCCGCCCACCCGGCCCCTGCCCGCTCCGCGCTGCCCCCGCCCAGACCCCACCGCGCTGCCCCGCGGGCTGCAGGGCTGGAGCAGCCTCCGCGCTGCACTCCCAGCCTCGGGCCCTCCCTGTGCAGCGGCCTGGGGGCCGGGCAGGAGCCCTCTGGCGCGGCGGGGGGCTCAGAGCTGAGCCCCCCCCCGTCTCCCTCCCTCGCCAGCCCCTCTTTGCCCGCCCACCCAGTGCCCAGGTGCCGGAGCTGACTCATTAGCTCCAGGATCCAGGTGCCGCCTCCGCCACCCCCTCCCTCCAGGCTTGCGCCACCATGCAGCTGCAAGCCTGGGAGGGAGGAGGAATGCCGCGTGGTTGAGGAAGAGGCGGGGCCAGGGCGGGGATTTGGGGAGGGAGCCAATGGGGGAACGGGAGGGCGGAGCCAGGGCGGGGGGTGAGAGTCCCTCCAGGAGGGCAAAATTTCTTGTTTGTCCAGTGTCCCAACCAAACATCGGTCGGGACGCGGGACAAAGAAGCAAATATCAGGACAGTGCTGATAAAATCGGGACGTCTGGTCACCCTATTTGCAGATCAGATGGACAATAAATTACGTGGGCTTAAGGACCCCGAACCACCCTGAAAGCCCTGAGGCTCTACGTTCTGGGCCCGGCACGTAAGCAGTTCAAACAACAACTACCCCAGGGAGCTAAAAAGTCGTTTTGAGGGTATGCCTGAGAGTGACCTCCCAGTCTATTCTCTGGATCCGATTTTTCCCAGTTTTTTGCAACTGCCTTTCCTTTTTCCTCCCAGCATGGTCGGCGATAACTTTGGACCACTAGGTCCTCAGTACAGTGGTGCACAGCTACACCCTCCAATTTATTTCCACCCTCCAGCCCCTTCCCCATCCCTCTTCAGGGACCCTTCTCACGAGAGTCTTCTCGAGCAAGAGGTTCAGGGGCTCTTACAGCTGGGGTGGTGTAGGAGGTTTCTATTCCTGGTATTTTCTGATCCCAAGGGTCTGAGGTCAAGGATGGTCTGTGTCCCATTCTGGACCTGTGAGACCTCAACAGATACCTAAAGAAGCTAAAGTTTCGCATGGTCTTCCTGGCCTCCATTATTCCCTCCCTGGATCAAGGAGACTGGTATGCTGCCCTCAACCTGAAAGACTCATAGTTTCACATAGCGATCTTTCAAGGACTCAGTCACTTTCTCCGTTTTACGGTGGGTTCGGCCCACTACCAGTTTGCGGTCTTTCTGTTTGGCCTGGCTAAGGGTGTTTACCAAGTGCATGGCGGTAGTCGCGGCCTACCTCAGGTGTCGGGGTATCCAGATTTACCTGTACCTCGATAGCTGGCTGGTCAAAGGCAGCTCCAAGGTTCATGTCCAGTGCAACGTTGCCGTACTACAAGTCACATGCCGCTCCTTGGGACTGTTGGTCAACCACAAAAAGTCCACGTTAGTGCCAGTTCAAAGGATAGAATTCATTGGGGCCGTGCTCGACTCGACCCGAGTGAGAGCGTTCCTGCCGTTAGACAGGTTTCAGGCCCTGACGGACCTCATCGCAGAAGTGTCCGCATTTCCCCTGACAACGGCCAGGGTGTTCCTGCGCCTGCTAGGCCACATGGCAGCTTGCATATACGTGGTCCGCCATGCCAGGCTCCGCATGCAGCCCCTGCAGCAATGGCTGGCGTCGACCTATTCCCAATCCAGGGACCACCTGAAAAAGATCGTCACCATTTCCCCGATGGTTCTCACCTCGCTGCAGTGGTGGACCAATCGCGAGAAGGTCCTGGAAGGTGTCCCATTCGACAGTCCCGCTCCATCTGTGGAGCTATAAGACTGTTTGGGTCTTATTTCACCAGATATAAAATGTAGATAACACTTACCTTCCTCACAGGATTGTTGTGAGGTGTAGCCCATTAATGTTTGTAAAGATATTTGAGAAAGCTAAATGGTAAGTGTTATAGAAGTATACCTCTACCCCTATGTAACGCTGTCCTCGGGAGCCAAAAAATCTTACCGCGTTATATCGAACTTGCTTTGACCAGCCGGAGTGCGCAGTCCCGCCCCCCACTCCCCCGGAGCACTGCTTTACTGCGTTATATCCGAATTCATATTATATCGGGGTAGAGGTGTATAGATTGTTAAAAATAATGTACCTCTAATACAGTGACATTATAGCTGATGCTACTGTTTTTTCTTATTAGTACAGGGAGAATCTGCAGTATCTCTGATACCACTGTTTAATAATAGCTTGACAGATGTTGCTTCTTCTAATGGAGTAACTGGGGGCAGAATTTGGCACCAAAAGCATCTTACAGGTGACAGTGCCTGAGAGGGAAAGAACTAACCTTGAGTTTGGAGGCCTAGTAGTTTTAAAAAAACAAAACCAAACCAACTTCTCTTTTCCCCC